CCCAGCTTCCCAAGACCATCTGGTAGGCCTTTATGCCTGACCGCTGGAAGCCAGGAAAAGGAATGGTGGTTGGTTCGACATATTTGATTTCGTCTCTTGAGGAATCCATGAACTAGGACCAGAATGTGCCTAGGGAAGTGAGGAAGGAAACTGAGAGCTGGAAGGCACGGCCAACAACTCAGCCTGGGGCAGAGCACTGAGGGGTTCCTGCAAGCTGACCCCACCTGCCCAACAAATGCGAGCCTTCAGCCACAGAACAGAGGAGGTGAAGGGCACACAGTGCCCTGAGGACCCATGCTCCCACTCTAACCCTGTCTCCCCAGCCTGACCCCCCCCCTTTTTCAAGGTTCCCTAGGGGCCCTCATGGACTGGCAAGGGTCTGGGGGAAGTGAATGCCACACAGGCCCTGGAGCCCTAGACAGCTGGGTTCCAAGAAGCTCTTCCCATCCCCCTGGGGAACCAGGGCAACTGTCCCTTCCCCCAGATCTGAGCCCAGTTTCCTTTTGTTGAAAACATGCAAATGCTGACCCCTGGAGTGGGAGGGGGGAGCCTGGAACATAGCTAACAGGTGTTTAGGAAGTGCTGGTACCCTTTTCCTCTCCTGACTCCACTCCTTTCCACACTGCAGATTGCCTACAGGGCCTGATGCAGCCCAGGGCCTACTTGGAGCCCTGGCCGCTGCCTCCAAACAAGACTGCCTTAAACTAGGCAGAGGGTGCCTGCCACTCTCTGGACAAAGCAGACGGCAGATCTCCCTTACCATACTCTGCCCTGGCACAATCTTCCCTTGGTCTCTCTCCAGCTCTCGAGGGACAGGGGAGGGAGGGCAGGGTGGAGATCAGTACTGGCTAGCACTTCCGGGAACCAGGCACCACACTCACAAGCACTCCTTCACTACCTCAGAAGCCCAGTATGCAAAATGAGACTCAGAGAGTCGGAGGGCCTGACCCCAAGTGACTGGTAAGTACAAGACCAGGATTGCAAACCAGTGGGTTTGATCCCTAAGACCAAGTTCTCCCAACCAAAACACCCACTATACCACACTCCCTGCCTATAAGAGCCTTCCAGGAAGGCAGGCAAACCACAAGGCACACTGACTAGGTTTCGGGGGCATTGGCTAAGGGTAGCCCAATAAATCCTCTCTGTGGGGATTTTCGGTTCTCGGGGAATTTTTGAGAAAACCCCATGCTTCTTATTGTGACGGGAGTTAAGTTCTTCCACGAAGCTCTTGAAATTCACCAGTTCCCTGGACTTTTTTTTCTGAGAAACAGAGAGAGATAGATGTTATGCCAGAGAAACCAAGAGCTCCCTTTCTTAACCCTCACCAGAGCTCAGAGAAAAGCAAGAGGCAGGGACAAGGAGGTAACACTCACTACTCAGCCCTGTGATGTCCCATGGACAGGCCCAAGATCCACCCTGGCATGGGCAGGCAGAAACAGACGTCTCTGCCCACCAGCAGGTCTGGGTGGAGTTGGTCTTTTACATGCACACACACACACACACATACACACACACACAACAACATGCACACACACACACATACGTGCTATACCTTGCCACCCAGCTTGCCTTTATTCAATTCTTTCTTTAAACCATGGGCTGGGGTGACAAAGTCATGTCATACTAGGTTCATCGACTGTACCCAATATACAATATACCGTGGTGTGGTATCTTAACAGTAGGGAGAGGCAGGGAGTAGGTGGGATGGTAATTGCCTCTCAATTTTGCTATGAACTTAAAATTGTTCTAAAAAGTATTCTACTAAACAAAACAAACAGTGTAGGCTGACACTGTCCAGAGTGGGCTGGCTGTGGTACCCGTGGAGGGTCGTCAAGGTCCCTGCTGCGCTAATGGTTTTGTGGCTGTTCAAGGAGAGGTCTTTGAGGTCCTGGGGAAGCAGCCAGGTCACAAAGCAGGGGCCAGTGGCTCCTTACCAAGAGGCTCAAGTGGCCACGTTAACCTCTCTAGCTCTCCCAGTGCCCTCTGCCACCGCACTCATCACCTGCTAACACTCTAGAATTTTTTTCCTGCTCATTGATGATTGTTTCTCTTTTAATTAGAATGTAAGTCCCACAAGCGCCAGGTTCCCTACACTTAGACTGTAAGCTTAATCGTATACACTGAGTGACTGCAGAGCAGAGCAGAAAAACCTGGTCATTAGATACACACTAAGTTCCAGGTACTCTAAGCATGAAGAAAGCTTAGAGCTATGAAATCCCATGAAAGGCTCTTGATGAGGGCAGGAAGGAGGCTGCCAAGCTAAAATCTGACCTGTCTCCTTCCCAGCCTCTAGTTCTCCACCTCACTAACAGAATGCCGCCACCAACACAGCCAGCCTAGCTGAATCTATGAAGTGTTTCCAAAACAGAAGGACACCTCCCCTGTGACCTCCAAGTTCCCACCCAGTCCTGCACCACAGGTCGTCTGCACCTGCAGTGCAGTTCATGACCGAGCCAGGAGAGAACTGGCTGTGGAATTGAATGTATGTGCTGGGGTTCAAATCCAGGCTCTGCCCCTCACCAGCTATGTGGCCAACCTGTTTCCTCATCTAACACATCTTAGCCATAGCCAAGAGGTGAAGTGAGAAGGGTATGGTACAAGTCCCAGGCAGTGTCTAGCATCTTGTGGGGAAAGAGTCCCCACAAGCCACCCAGGGACACACCTGCACAGAGTAATGTCCATAAGCCAGAGGCTTGCTTCGATCACCAGAGAAAGTGTCATAGGGGCCACGGGTGCCAACGGATTTTGCCAGGTATGTCTCGATGCCACTTTTAATGGAGTATGTGCCAGGTCCCAGACCACTCCCCTAAAGAGAACAGAGGTTATAATGCCTGCAGGAGAGCTGCAGAGGCAGGGTGTTGGTCTCCCCACCCAACCTCCCAACTGCCAGCACTGTTGCGGGGAGCCCTGGCCAAGTAAGGGGTACCTGATGTGCCAAGGGGCGTGGCTTGTTGGACATCCTGCACATGAGGCCCTCGGAGTGCGACCGGTTCCAGGCATTCTCCTCCAGCCGCGTGTACGGGTTGCCCTTCTCCCCATAATTCCCAGGGCCTGGATAGTAGTTCTGTAAGGCAGGAGGCAGGGATTAAAAGCCATCTGTCCCACTCTCAGTGCTGGTTCATCTGAGGGAGGGACACCTGGGATCCCCGTTCCCAAGAGGGGAGCAGAATTTTCAGGCTATGTACATGTTGCCCACACCCAACACACAACCTTGGCACCTGTGAGCCTGCTCCACTGCTTACACCTTCAACTCCAAGTCTGGCCTCATCACCAGGTCCCCCTAGCCTGCCCAAGTTGCATCTTACCACTTGCTTCCTATGCCCCACACTTTGGCCAACGTGAGCTCTGCGCTGCTGCCTGAGGGCATGCCATCCTGCCCGACTTCCCTCCCTTGCTTGCTTGTGCTTCTACCAACACCCAGAATCCTTTCCTGCCCTCTTTGCCTTAGAAACCCTAATAATTCTGCAAAGCCTGTCAAACGCTGCCTCTCTTGGGATGACACCTTCCTTTCCCCAGCACACCAGGCAGTTGCCTGCTCTGAGGCCTCAGCAGTTCTATGCTCTCACCTGCCCTTCTGAGAGGGGTTTCCTCACTCCTGGTAACATGGGAATGGCTGTACTTTTCTCCAGGAAATGATGATGAAACTGAACAGTGTCTATAAAGCTTCCTGCAGGGCCTGGTACACAGTGGGCACCCACAAATAAGTCAGTGTGGAGTGACGGAGAGTCTTGGGGGCAGAAGAGATTAAGGACTGTGGCTGGAATGGCCATCAGGGGCCTGGACTAACTGCCTGGGTTTGAAGTGAGTCTTTGTAGATAAAGTGAGCTGAGCCATTTTGTAGTTTGGGTGGGTGTGGGCATTCCTGAGTGAAACCAGGCAGGATTTTTGCTGCTGAGTTGCACCTTTTAGCCACACGGGGTCACTGCTATTCCATGGATGGCTAGGCCCCACCCATTTCTGGGCTCTGGAACCTGGCCCTAGGGAAGCCAAGCCAGGTAAGGAGGCAGGGACCTCTGCTGGGCAAGTCAGGCCACTGCGGGCATCCGATTGGTTTGTCCCCACAGCAATGGGACTATCTAGGCCTTGCCTCCTTTCAGAGCTCGGGGTGTTCTGGAGAAAACCCCCCAGGGTTGGAAGCTGGGCCCCTAAATTGTGTGCTAGATGTATTGAAAAATCCTTAACATCTTATCTTGATCAAAGAGGCAAACCACATCCGCACACCCACCTCCAGAAAGGGGCAGCACAAGGCGTCTGGCTCTAAAATCCATGTTCTTTTGGAGCCCGTTTTTCAGGCTCCGGGATGAGTAGACAGCAAGCATCACAAGTCCTAGAGTGGCCTTGGATCTAGGAGCTCAGGGATGGCACCAGACCCACTGGGCACTTTGTTGGCACAATATCCTTTCGCTCTTAAGACCTTCAAGTTCAGAGGTTTAGTATCATATTTGGCTGATGTGAAAACCTAGAATTTTAACTTAAATTATCAGATTCAGAAGGGGGCAAGAATAATTAATTCAGAGGAAGAAACAGAGGAATAGGCACCTTTTAAAAAGCTGGGCTTTGAAGAAGGATCCCACACAGATGGTTAGAGGTGAGGGTCACTCAGGCAGGAGGAGCAAAGGCAGATGCCCCAGTGTGAGTGGCCGAGACACAGGAAAGAGGGTGTTAAATGTGTCCCCTCCCATCAACTTCTCTGCCAACAGTTGGGCTGAGCCCTGACATTACACATGTCCTCCACAGCCAAGGAACAAAACCCACGAACTAAGGGACACAGCCTTTGGGTAACACAGTGGCCATACGCTGGACATCTGAAATTCTGATGTTGTCACTGCCACGCTGTAGCCCTGTGACGTTGGATGGTTGGCTACTCAACCTCTGTACTCCAATTTTGCCATGTGTGAAGTGGCCGTAATACAGTGCCCCTCATAGGGCTACTGTGAGGTTAAGGTAATAAGCAGTTGGTAAGCGCTGTGCTAAGCGTCGGCTGTTATTGCTTTAGACTTGAAGGTAATGACTCATTTTAAATGCCTGCAGACAGCCCCTCTCCCTAACTGACAGCTCCAGCTTCTGCACCTGAAGATGCACCTGTTTGCTCCCCAAACATGTCAAGGAGTGATTTCTTGACCTCCTCAGTCCACAGTGGTAAGGAGTGAGGAAAAATGCATCCCAGCTCACCCACTGGCCAGCTGGGCAGCCCAGGGCAGATTGCTGATCCTCTCTGATCCTCCAGGTCCTTGTCTGGAATTGTTGCAAAGAAGGAGAGAATGTCCTTCTTTTGGAGCATTTGGAGCCCGTGTGCACTTTACTCAGTCCACAAATACTCGTTGCAGGCCAACTGTGTGCCAGGCACTGTGAGGACCTCAAAATGCCTCAGGGAATGAACCGTGTAGATGTGCTCCACTCTCTGGGGCTGCGGTGGGAGATGGGGGAGGGGCACAATCATAGCAGGGACTCCTAGGAGGGGAGAGAGTGCCTAGTGGGGGTCCATAAGGCTTCTTGGAGCTGAGAGCTGTAGGATGAGCAGGAGTGCCGTGGGGGAGGAAAGTCATACCCAACAGAGGGCATGGCGGAAGCAGAGCTCCTAGAAAGCGCACGGCACATCCAAGGAGCTAGCTGCTAGAAGGACATTGCCACTCGAGCACAGAGTTCAAGGACAGGGGGAGGAGGGTGCTCAACAAATAGCTGCAGTCACTCCTGAGGTCGGGGGATGACTAGCTGCTTTCTCTCCTGGCCTTCTGAGGTTGGGCCTCACTCATGTCCTCCCACACGCACAGTGATCATCATCCTGCCCCATTCTGCCCTGCAGCCCTCCTGCCACCCCACCCCTCAGCCAGCATCTCTACCTGCACACCTGCTGCCGCCTCCCAGCCCTGACACCCACAGCAGGTGCTCCTCCAAAACTGTCTAGCAGGCCCTTAGCCTGTCCAAACCTTCAGTGTCCTCCCACAACTGATATGACAGTCAAAGACCCTGCTTTGGCTGCAAGGTCCTCATGATCCCACCATTCACTCCTCTGCTCTCTCTCGTCTCCTTGCCCTTACCCCCTCCTTCCCAGTCACTTGGCCTCCTGCCTGCCAGTCTAACTGACCAAGCGTGCTCGTGTCTCAGGGCCTTAGCCTTTGCTGTTCCACTGCTGGGAATGCTCTAGTGCAGGTATCAGTAGTCTCCATTGGGTTTTACTCAAATGGCACCTCCTCCCAGAGGCCTTCCCAGACTGCTCTCTGTAAATTGCCCTCCCAGTACTCTCTAGCCTTTTCCTGTGCCATTTATCTTCATATCCCTGAATATATATACATTTCCTTCCTTGCACTGTTGTTTCTACTACTAGGATATCCACTCCATCAGAGCAGAGATCTTGGCTTTGTCACTGCCAGATCCCCAAGGTCTAGGATGGTATGTGGTATTATTTCCTGATTGGCTGGCTGGATGTATAGACAAAAGAATTCATTGAGTACCTAATATTTGCTGGGCTGTTTGCTGGGCCCTAGAGATGAACCAGCCCATCTCTGCTGGAATCTACAATAACCAGTGAGCTCAAGGCTGAGACACAGGAAAGCAGACAGGTCCTGAGGACCACACCTGGGGAAGAGGCAGGCACAAGAAAGGCATTTCTAGCATCAGGCTGTATGCTCTGCCCACAGAGAGCAGAGGATGGAAGGGATCCTCCTTCACAGATGAGAACACCTACCCCGATGAAGCCTCGGAAGCGGGCCTCCCCAGAGCTGAGCAGTCCCCGAGTGCTACCAGGTTTTTGCTGTAGCTGTTGTAAGAAGTCTTTGAAGTTGTAGCAGCCAGGCCCCAGCTTTTGCTCCTGTCCCAAGAGAAGAGAGCATGAGATGAAAACTGGAAACCAGGGAATGTCCACACAGGAAGGGGACAAGGAGCCCAAGGAAGGGGCCTGGGTGGTGTCCAACTAGTTCCACCAGAATCTGGAAGAACAACTGAGGTCCAAACAGCCTGGCCCCAAAGATGGAGAAGGGTGTGGCCCAGAAGCTTCACCTGTTGCCGCCTGTATTTCATGATGGCCTGGTACTGGAAGTGTGGCAGCTTAGTCAGCCGAGTAGCTTCCTGAGCCCGGGCCCAGCCTGTGTCCACCTCTTTCTTCAGCTTCTTCTTGCTGAAGCAGGTCTCTTTGGAATTGTAGGCCCCAGGTCCTATGTTGGACTGAGTTAGAGCATGGTCAGAGCTGAGCCAACCATATCCACCATCCACCCTCAGAGCAAGTCCTCACCAAGCCACCCTTGGCCTGGGGATGGAGGCCAAGCTATCCCCCAGCACCAAGCCTGGCACCTAGGGGCTTGGCACTTAAGGTGCAATCATGGCTTCCTCTGTCACTGGCTCCATCACACTGCAGCAGGCAGAGTAACTTATCAGAGCCCGAAGTTAGCCAACACAGGAGCTTGGAATAGAAACCAGGTCTCTGCAGCCCCCAAACTCACACTGTTTTCACTCCTGACCCACATTTATCAAACACATCAGAAACATATGAGCCCCAAGCTCATGCCAGGGGCTGCCAGCATGGAGATGTAGAGGGACACCGCTTACACACTCAGCTCACCCACGGGGGGTCATTTGGAGGAGCAGTGGCTGGAGCATGTGTGCAGAGGCAGAGCAGCTGCTCAAACTCACCACTTCTGTAGAATGATGTCTGGAATATGGGGCCTGCGTGAAGGTGCTGAATTTCTTGTTTTCGGGATATACACCAGAGACATCAAACCTAGGGAGGGATGAGAGCCCAATGCCTGTCACCTGCTCCTGGCTTGGACAGTACTGGGGAAAGTCACCTGCCCAGGGGAGGTGACTTTGGAGCTGGCCCATGAAAGTTCAACAGCAAGGTGGTGCTGACTTTGACCATCCCAGGGTGACTCCACCCCACCTGTCCCTCAGCACTCTCCAGCTCCTCCTCCCAGGTTAGCTTTTCTCCAAAGGCCTTAGCACCATCAATCACGATTATATATATATGTGTTTTTAGAGACAGGGTCTCACAATGTAGCCCAGGCTGATCTTGAACTTCAGATCCTCTTGCCTCATTCTCTGGGATTACAGGCATGCATTACCACAACTGGCTTGTGTATACTTTTACATATGATATATATGGCTTTTATCCACCTTGCCCTGTCCGATAAAAATACAAACTCCATAAGTACAAGGTTTTGTTCATTGCTGTAACCCAGCAATCCTAGAATTGTGCATGGTGCATAGTAGGTCATACTTAAATATATTAAATATGATAATACACATGAACAAAGATAAGACATCTGGGCTGAACTCTCACCCACGACTTTTTACCTGAGTGACCTACTATGGGCTAGGCCATGTAGCCTCTCGCTAAACCCCACACATAGTAGGTGCTCTGTAGATGGAGTTCAAGAACTTATGAAGATTGTGGGAAAGAAAATAGGATGGTAGAAGAGGCTAGCAGGGAAGTGCAGCAGGCGGGAGGGAGAGAGAATCAGCGCCCCCCCCCCTTACTGCCAGCCCACTCGGGTCCTTTCCCAGGCTCCAGCCTTCCTGGGTGGGGGGTGTCGGATCTCTCTCCCGCCAAGGCAGAGGGGCGATGGGCGGCACCTGTGGCTCTGCACCCCAAAGGGCGCCCCTCTGGACCACTTGCTGGATGCGGACGTGGACATGGCTGTTGCGCGGGAGGGGCCTGAAGCGTGGTCCCGCGGAGCCTGACCTTCACGCCGCGGGTGCAGGCTCGCCCGCGCTCTCGCGGTCCCCGCGCTGCCACGGCAACCCGGCCTTGTGATTCTCTAGAGCCGCGCTGCGTCGGTGCCACGTGGCGCCCCCCGCAGGCGTGCTCTGGCTGCTCCCCGAAGTTTTCATTCATCTGTGTATTTTCCATGCTACTTTGCCAGAGAGCCTTCCCTGCAGACGTAATGGCCCCTGCTGGTGTTTGATACGGAGCTGCTTGGTCGGGCTTTAGAGTCAGTTGCTGAGGATTTGTTTCTGGTTTCTGCGCCCGCCCGGGAGGGCCTCTTAGCGCTCACCTTGCGTTGGAGTGCAATCGAGGCTCCCCAAAGGGCAGATTTGAGTAGCGGGCATCCCAGCTCCTTCTGTACAGTGGGGAGGAGAGGAATAAGGGAGACAGACTGAGGGGCGGGAGCATGGAGAGCATGAGTAAAGCTGGAAAGGTGGGAGAAGGGTTCCAGGGACGTCAGAACTCATCTGACCCCCAGACATCTGGACACCCACTCTGGACAGACACTGTGCAGCATACCTGGGACCCAAATGTGGTACCTGTCCTGAGATTGTAGTGGCAGAAACAATGACTACATAGCATCCTCAGGCCCAAGAGAGAGAGGTGGCCTCTGACTGAGCCTGTAGGTGGGTTAGGAAAGGCTTCCTGGAGAATTCCAAGCTCATACTGAAGCATGTATGATGTGCCAGGTGAAGAAAGGAGTTGAGGGTATGTGCCCCCACTAGGGCATGGTCAGCTCCTGCTTCCTCCGACTTTTCCCCCCACCACGGTTGTGCTGAGACTGTCTAATAGCATCTCTGTGATCGCCTCCTATCCCCTTAAGGGCTTTCAGAAAATGCACCCCTGCTCCATGGTGACAAGAGTGAAGCCAGAGAGAAGTAGTTTGTGCCCTAGTACTGTATCCCACTGTGGCAAAGTGGACCAGAGGCACAGCGAGTCTCCTTGCAGGCCCCTCCCAATGCCCTTCTGACATCCCAAGCTAGCATTTAAATAAGTACGGCCTCACAGCACAGTCAAGAGATAGACTTTTAGGTTTCAGGCCTGGGGGCTCACATAACCGTGACTGGTAGAGTGTCCATAGTACACCACTGGGCTGTTGTCATGGCATCAGGCCCCAGGAACAGACCCAGAACCTACACCTTGGGTCAGCTGTACACCCTGGGTCATCTGAACACAGCCTCTGTCCCTCCCCAGGATAGGGACCTTAGACAAGTCACTTCCTTCTCTGAATCTCAGCATTCTTCACTGGAAGATAATACTAATGGCCTCCGTACTGCAGTGAGGGTGAAATGACACAATTTAGGTAACAATGCCATACATAGCAGGAGCTAAGGTCATTCCCAGCCCTTGGAAAGGGACCTTGAAGAGGCCCACAGAGACTATATCTTATCCTTTCCTTGTGTGGTACCTGCCACGTAGTAAGTGTTCAGTAAATATTTGTTGAGTGACAAGTAAATGAATAAATGAATATAGTCCAACTCCCCAGTCACACACAAATCTTCAAAAGGACTCACTCTTGAATCCTGGCTCTGCTGCTTCCTAGCTGGGCAAGGAATCCTGGCCAAACTTCAATGTCCTCACCTATGACAGGGACACATGAGTGGAGCTTCCTGAAGAAATGCTTTTGAGGTGCCAAGGAGGTGTGGACATGCACACTCTTAAGTCCTGTACACTGGATTCCCCACCACCACCACCAGCCTGGGTCTTCGGGACCCAAACCTGCCTGCAGCTGCTTTGCTGCTGTCCCCTTGGCTCGGGGACTCATGGAGGAATGACAAGGATAAAAGCCAAGGTACTGCCAGGCAGGCCAGAACAGGCCAGGGTGAGTCACTCTGCAGCGAGGTCACCTGCCCAGTGCCTCCCATTGAAGCAACTTCCTTGTCTGGGGAGCTAATCTCCCCACCTTCATTGTACAGAAAAGGAAACTAAGGCTCAGACAGAGAATAAATTGTCACATCGAGTAAGGCACAGGGTCAAAAGGCACAGATAGGACTCAAGAACATTTGAGAGAGCTCTCTGGCTACGAGCGTTTAACCCACTCAGACTCAGGAGGCATGTGTCATGTCAGTGGAATCAAGTCAAGCTTCTCAGCCAGGACACAGCCTTGGATAGGGGGAGCTGTGGCTGCGGCCTTTACTCCACATCACCTGCTACCTCATTCCCAGCTCATAAGCTCCAGTCCATGGGCAGCTCTGTTCCTTGGGCACACCCTGCACTGGGCAGCCTCTGGCTTTTTCAAACTTTTCCTGCTTCTGAAACATGTGTTCATTAAACCTCCCTTCCCCTCCCAACTTCTACTCATCTTCTTAGAGTCAGATCGAAAGCTAAGTCCATCAATCAGGATGGTTATTACAAGATAGAAGCAACTCAAGTGAGCACCCACAGGTGAATGGATAAACAAAATGTGATAGATACAGACAATGGCATATCATTCAGCCTTAAAAAGAAGGAAATTCTGACACATGTTACAACACGGATGAACTTTGAAGACATGTTCAGGATATAAGTCAGACATGCATGAACAAAATACTATGTGATTCCATTTACATGAACTACTAGAGTATTCACACACATAGAGACAGAAAGCAGATTAGAGGTTACCAGACACTGGGGGGAGGAGAAAGTGGAGAGCTATTGTTTAAATTAATGCAGAGTTTCAATTTGGGAAGATGAAAAATTTTCTAGAAATGAAAGGTGATGAAGTTTTCATAACAATGTGACTGTACATAATACCACTGAACTGTACACTTAAAAATAGCTAAAATGACAAACTTCATCTTAAGAATATGTTGCCAAGATTAAAAAAAAGAAAAAAGCCAAACCAGTTCAGTGCAGATAGCTCACATCTGTAATCTTAGCTATTGGGAGACTGGGATCAGGAGGATCAAAGTTCAAGACCAACATGGGCAAACAGTTTGCAAGACCCCATCTACAAAAATAAACCAGAGCAAGTGACAGAATGCCTGCTTTCAATTGTGAAGCCACAGTTCAAACCCTATTACCACAAAAAAAAAAAAAAAAAAAAAAGCCAAACCCTCTGGGATTCCATCCCTGATACTCTAAAGCAGATGAGAGACAGTTTTGTTAAAGGATCAACAGCAATTTATAGTAAGATTTTTATTAAAAATTACTACATGTATTAAATTTGATACCAAAAAATATCAGGTGAGGACTAGGAATGTGACTCAAGTGGCAGAGCACCTGCTTGAAGCCACGAATTCAAACACAAGTCCCACCAAATAGTAATAATAATGGTAACAAAAAATAGCAGGTGAGAAATACCAAAATGTTTCGATTTATCTTTCCCAAGTTCACTAACTGGCTCTATTCTTCTTTTGAAAACATTGGTCTATTTTTCAAGATGAGGCGGTAAGGGCAGCAGGAGCCCAGACCCAGGTGAAATGAGAAGGGGTCAAAGTCTAGACCTGCTACAGAACAGTCTAGGAGGACTCCACCCTGCAGTCCGGGAGCATCACCACTCAAGCCTGCAGGCTAGAGGTCAGAGGACCTCTCCAGGCCTGGGAGGAAGACTGGCTAGAGCAAGGAAACTGGGACTACAGGTAGGTACAGGACGGGATGCCCAACAAGGGGGAGGAGTGGAGCTGACATCTATCCAGAGTGGCCAGTTATCTCTTTCCCTGTGGTATCTCTCTGCCCTGTCACGGGAGAGATTGGCATCCTCATGCCACGGAGGAGGAAAGTAGGAAGTACGATGACTCATACATTAGTCGAGTTGGAGCAACTGATTAGAACTAGCATATGGAAGCCATAGTCCTTCCACAGGGGCCCAGTGCCGAGCAGAGAGGACTCGAGAAATCCCAAATGGGAAGCGAAGGCATAACGGCCAAAGGAAGAGAGGGGAGAGGCTGTGGGCTCTGTTCAGAGGAAGAATACAGGAGCTGCGAAGGGGGTGCGACGAGAGGAGGAGTGAGCGCGGCTTCTGCATCTGGATGGACTAGTCCTGACAGCTCATGCGGGCAGTTAGCAGTCAGTGCCCATGGAGGAAGGACCAGCCTTGGGCAAACTGGGGCTCCAGGCCTCCTTGGGCACGCCCCAGTTCTGTGACCTGCGCAAGCTCTTTTCCTTCTCTGAGCCTGTTTCCTCTGCTGAGTGAGCAGAGTGAAAATCCTCCTTTTCCTTCGCACCAGGCTTTGCGCGGCCCTCATTTAGCAATGCACCAGTTTTTCTGGCACACCTGGTTGTGCAATGCCCACGTCTAGCTGAGCAGCGAAAGCGGAAACAACTACAGGACGCTCCGTGGGCGGACGCTCGGACACACCCACCGGCGAGAGACGCAGGGGACCGGGAGGCGACCGCGCCCTGTGCCTGGGCTCCGGCTGGCTCCGGGGGGCGTCCCCATCCACAGCTGTCCGCAGCCTCGGGGGCTAAGCCATGGCGGAGCCCGAAGCTGCAGCCGACGACCTGGACGCCCTCATCGACGACCTGGACTACCTCCCGGGCCACTTCCACCTGGAGATGCAACTGAACTTCGAGCCGCGCTCGCCGGCCCCGCTGCGCGCCCGGGACCTGAAGCTGCAGCGGGAAGGCCTGAGGCAGGAGCTCGATCTGGAGGCCACTCTGCAGCGGCCCGCCGTGTGTCACCTTCTGGGCACCTTCGCCTTCTACCTGGAGGAGCTGGACGAGGCCCGAGAGCGCTTCCTCGAGGTGGCCGGCGAGGACCCGGGCAACCTGAACGCCTGGGCCAACCTGGCGCACGTATATGGACGGCTGGGCCAGGAGGAAGAAGAGGAGGCATGCGCCGCGCGGCTGGCTAGCCTCATGGGCCTGGCGGCGGACCCCGAGGCCGCCGGAGACCCCCAGCTCCGCGCGGCTCGCTGCCTGGCGGAGCAGGGCTATGCGCACGGTTTCGACGTGGGCTGCACCAGCCTAGAGGAGCGCGCGCAGGTCCTGGCGGTGGGCATCGCCCTC